CCTGGAGCCTGCTTTGGATTCTGTGTCTCCCTCTTTCTCTGCGCTCCCCTCACTCACACTCTCTCTCACTCAAAAATAAACATTAAAAAATAAAAATAAAAAAGACTGATGAAAACCCATGAGAAGAAGCAACATGAAAGAACAAGAGACTCAGAGAAACGGGAAGAAGGTGGTACTTAAGCTGTTCCCACCAATGTTAGAACTCAGATATGCTTCTGAAAGCTTATAAAGATTCTGTTCCATGCTATTCCATCAAAACACCCAAATTTGTATACAAAGGCACTTGCACAAAGATATTCAACAATGACAGTTTATTTTTTTTTTCCAACGTTTATTTATTTTTGGGACAGAGAGAGACAGAGCATGAACGGGGGAGGGGCAGAGAGAGAGGGAGACACAGAATCGGAAACAGGCTCCAGGCTCCGAGCCATCAGCCCAGAGCCCGAGGCGGGGCTCGAACTCACGGACCGCGAGATCGTGACCTGGCTGAAGTCGGACGCTTAACCGACTGCGCCACCCAGGCGCCCCTCAACAATGACAGTTTATAATGATAAAAAAATGGAAAACGAAACCAGAGAACTAGTAAATACACATTAAATCTGTATTATGGAACAGTACGCAAAGGTTAAAAAGAATGAGGTGGATCAGTCTGCACTGAAATGGAAAATTTACCGACATGTTAAGTTGAACAACAAAGCAAGTTGCAAATCAATGTCAAGATCTCATTTAGGTAAAAAGAAAAAACCAAACAGCCTCCCAGATTGTTTATATTTGTATACAATGTAACACATATGCACAAAAATGGCATGGAAGGATAAACATCTGTCTGTAAATGGTGGTAACTCCAGGCTCAGGGGAGAAGAGATGGGGTGGGGTAGTGAGGCTGGCTTGGAGTGAACTTTAATACCGTACTCTGTTGTCTATATTTTGTAAATGAGTACACATGTGTATTATCTGTTTGTATTATATTTTTTTAGGTTTATTTATGTATTGAGGGGGGAGGAATGAGAGGCATAAAGAGAGGGAGAATCCCAAGCAGGCTGGGGCTCAAACTCAAGAACTGTGAGATCATGACCCAAGCTGGAATCAAGAGTTGGACACTTAACCGACTTAACCACCCAGGCACCCCTTTGTGTTTTTAAACAATATTATAAAAACTCTTTTCAGTATTGCAAAACAAACATCTTCAAGCCATTTCTCTAGATTGAAAGAGGAAACTGAAGCAAAAACAACTACTCTTAAGACAAACTTTTTAAAGTAAAACATGCTGTTCTACAATAAAACTTCAGGCTACCCTTCAATAATTCAACTGATCAATCAAATCTGTGGAACAGTAAAGAGAAAACTAGAGATTTAGTGGCTCTCTTAAATGCCACAGTGAATATGCCTTTATTTTAGGGCAAAATAA